CCGCCACCGAGCCGCCCCTCAGCGCGGGGCGCTGCCGCTTTAAGAACGAGTGAGGGGCTCGGGCCGCCCTCCCCTTCCCCTCCGGAAAATGGCGGCTCCCAGGGGAGCTTCAGCAGCACCCTCCTCCTTCCCACGTGACCGCCGAGCGCGCTCGCCTGCCGCCTGTCCCCGCCCCCTGCCTCTCGCCGATTGGCTACCGGGGCCCGGCGGCGGGCGGCGATTGGTCGGCGTTGGCGCGCGAAGGGGTGCGCGGCGCCGGAGCGGCAGGCGGCGGGGGCAGGAAACAATAGAGCCCGCGGCCGGAGGGGTCCGAGCAGGGAACGGAGGAACCGGCCGCCCGTCTCGCCTGGCCCAGCCCGCCCCGCATCACCTCCTCTCCCGTTACCGCCCCGCTCCCCCCGCCCCGCCATGGCGGACAAGGAAGGTAAGGCTCGCGGCGCCGCGTAGGCCCCGCGGCGCGGCCTCCTCCCCCTCGGGCCTACCGTGAGGCGCGGGGGCGGCCGGTGTGAGGGGAGTCGGGGCGGAGAGGCAGGCCCCTCAGGGCTCCGCCGGCATGGCCCGCCGCCCCTCGCCACCGGGGAGGCCTGGGGCCCGAGACCCGTCGTGTTGTCTCGTGGAGGGGGGAGGCCTGTACCGAGGCCGAGTCCCTCCGCCCCGCCTCCCCTTTTGATCCGTTTGTATCCGCGCCCGGAGTGTGAATTCTCGGAGCTGCCCGGTGTAACGGACGGACGGACCGTGTCGGGGGGCGGGGGGAGCAGAAATGCGGTGCCCCCTGAGGGGGTGTGGGTCTGGTGCAGACAAAGAGGTGTCCCCGGCCGCTCCCGGGTGCGCTCCCCGAGGGCCTGCGCTGTGTGGAGCAGATGGTGCGAGAAAAGCGTGTGTGAGAAACGGGAGGAGCCTCGGAAAACCGGATTTTGGGGAACCGGTAGTTCAAGGCTGCACTGAGCCCGCTCTGTTTTAACAGCGGCTGCATCTTCCCCCGTTTAAACGTCTTCACAATTCTGGGGTTTTGCTTCCGCAATACCCTGTGGCAACAAGTTTCAGAATTTTGTGATGCTGCTTCGGTTGAAATTTTGACAGAGTTAATGTTAATTCTCAGCCTACGATCCAGAAACAAGGATTAGCATGCGCAGCTGAGGATTTTTAATCATCAAGCAGCTACTCCAGTAAGGTGGTCTAACAGCAAACCGGGGTGTGATGTCGTTGGCTCTCTGTTCAGTTGCCCACCCGCACTGTTGTGTGTATATTGTAAATATATTCAGAAAGGCTAATCATATGCTTTTTTTTTTTTCTTATTTTAAATTTAGCAGCCTTTGATGATGCAGTGGAAGAACGTGTGATCAATGAAGAGTACAAGATATGGAAAAAGAATACTCCCTTCTTATATGATTTGGTAATGACCCATGCTCTGGAATGGCCCAGCTTGACTGCTCAGTGGCTTCCTGATGTAACAAGGTAAGCTGATCCTCTTGCATTTTATTTTTTGAAAAAGCAGAATCAATAGTACATCTATGATCACTTTTTGTTTAAGTAAGACAATATGTGATTCCTTTCTGTCTTAATCTCTTTTTGTACCCTTGCCTTGCCAACAGCAAGTTGAGAACTAGGAACACGAGATAATCTGTACAGATGTTTTAAATTTGGGAAAATGGCTTATATTATGGAGAAGATATTTTCACACATTTAATTTCCATTATTTTCTTCCTCCAGCAAAAAAAAACCCAAAAAAACCCCGCAAAAATAGAACTAGATATGATTTCTGTATAGCCATCATTTTGCCCTGAGCTTCCAAAACAATCTTCTGCTTGCAGTGAATGTTGTGCTTGGGGGGAGCTGCTGAGGTCTCTTAAAGGAAGGCATGGGAATGGTGGTCTGTCAGGGTGTTGTGCTGGAATTTTAGGTTGAGATCTTGAGTTATGTGTAGTGATTTCCTCTGGAGGAAGTGAGTTTGGTGTTGGAGCAGGAGAAAAACAATAACTTTAAAATTATTACAGTTAGAAACTGTCATTAAAAATGCTGTAATCGGCTTGGTATTTGTGTAAACCCCCTTCTTTTGTTTCTCATCTCTCACTCTTCCCTTGCAGACCTGAAGGCAAAGATTTCAGTATTCACCGGTTAGTCCTGGGGACCCACACTTCAGATGAACAAAACCATCTCGTGATAGCGAGCGTGCAGCTGCCTAACGACGATGCGCAGTTTGATGCTTCGCACTATGATAGTGAGAAAGGAGGTAAAGGCCCAAAGATGTTTTAACCATTTTTAACCTTTTTTCCTTTCCCGTCGAAATAGAATATTTGTCTTGCCTTAAAGTTCAGGCAGCAAAATTCAGATGTTACTTCTAAACTAATCAATTTATTTCTAAGTGGTGCCCTTGCTTAACAGTAGACAAATACTATGTTTTTTGAATGTACGTAATGCCTTCATAATTTAATGATGAAAAAAGAAGGTGGTGGGCTTATTGCAAAGGTATGTGTGTGGGGGAAAACCTCCCCCCTCCCTATTTCTCATCAGGAATTGACATTGAATTTTGTGGAGTACTGTTTATTGGTATTTTTACTACCACTTTTGCATTCCATAAACTCTTCCAGTGAGAAAGTAACTCACGTAAAAGAATACTTTATTTCAGAGGAGTGTAACGTTTCAAATGTTCTTCTCTTGTCTAAATTCTGCTGCCTGATAGTTGTGCCAGCCCTCCTTGGATGAAAAGATTATTGTGTTTTGTTTGGTGTATCAGACTTGAATCTGATGCTTTCTGTAATCTTAGTTGGCTGTCAGCATTGCCACAAATTAGACGTTTCTCATTTTTACTTGGTTGAATCAATCTTTCTACTTGGTGAAAGTCCTTCATGATCCAATGTTTGCTCTTTTTTTATCCAGAAGCCTGGATTGTGCAATTAGTATTTTGGTCTTTGGGGCTTCTGAGAGTTACCCATGACCAGGATGTTGTCTAATAAATACTTTGTTTCTATTCTGTGTTAGTATTTCTTAGAAATATACTACTCCAATTTACAAACAACCCTCCCCCTTCTTTTTGCAAGGACAGCAGTGCTGTGCAGTTTTGTGCAATACGAAGTTACTGTGAGTTTAACTATAAAGATAAGGTAGCTTTAGCAAGTTATGTTAGAGTTCCAAATCTTAAACAAGTGTTGCAGCAATTTTTTTTTAAACCAGAACTTTGTTTATTCAGCAATGCTGAATTTTGTTATCTTTGAAAGAAGAGTTTTACGTGTGATAATTCGGGGCTTATGCTGTTAAATTCCAAATAGTAAAACATTTTGGGGAAGAAATGGTCTTTAACTTAGCCAAAATCCTGAAATTTTGATGTTACAAATACTGGTGTTTAAAACAACATGCCATTTGAGAACTGGATTCTTTCAGTTTTATGTTTATTTTGACTATTCTTTCAAAAGGAGAGCTTGGTGGTACCAGTCATTGAGTCTGAAACGGGCTTATTATTCGATGACTTACAACTACTAAATTCTTATTTCCAGAGTTTGGAGGCTTTGGGTCAGTTAGTGGAAAAATTGAAATTGAAATCAAGATAAATCACGAGGGAGAAGTGAACAGAGCACGTTACATGCCGCAGAACCCGTGTATCATCGCTACGAAGACTCCATCCAGTGATGTCCTCGTCTTTGATTACACCAAACACCCTTCTAAACCAGGTTTGTGCGCTTTGTTGTGTCTGCTCTTCAGAGCTCTGCCAGCCCTCCCTTGAGAAAAGGTTGGAGTGAAAAAGAGGTTAAAATAGTTTTCTGGGTTGCATATTATTTATGATTTAAATGGAAAGTGGGTATTTAGTGTAAAAGGTTATTTTGTATGAAGTTTAAACGTAGGTATCCAATATGTATCAATAGAAAGGGATGCTCCTTTTGTTATTTTACTGCCTGTTCTGTCATGTCACTGTGTGTGGTGACGTTTGGGGTGGTAGAAGGTGCCTTTTTGGAAACTGTATGGTTTGCCAAGTAGCTGAGCTAGTTTATTAACAGTCATTTAC